TGCTGAATGCAAGGCTCTTAGCCCCAACCCTCCTGGTGCCCTAGGGGTGTGGGGAAGAGATGCAGCCACCCTCCACCTGTAGCATATAGTGACATTTGGCTGTAGTAGTCTATTTCAGGCTTACATAATCGATGTCTTGACAAAGCCTTAGATGCTTAACAACAACAAAAATACCCTGGGCTGATTGTACGACTGAGCCACATGATACTGTTCAGCCTGGAGAGAAAAACTATTGTCCAATGATCTGAGAACGGATAAAATAGCCAACCCTGGAGAACTGCAAACCCAGGTGGGGATTTGCTGGACTGGAGGCTGCTGTCCCCCTCTCCAAACTCCAGCCTCTGCCTTTTGTCTTTCTCCCCCCTGCCTCACCTGCACGTGCTTGAAGCCAGTTGAGCGCTTTCGCTTCCAGCAGCTCCCATTCATCCCTCTGCTCTGCGGCGTTGGAGTGGAGCCACAGGATGGCCAGCACAGTTGCCCACACATTGGGGGCCACCTAGTGAGGGGGGCAGAGAGAAGAGAGACACTGAGTCCTGCCTACACACAGGCCCTGTGCAGGCCTAACACTGAACCAGGTCAAGCAAAGAAACTGAAGCTGTGTTTTCAGCTGGGATGTGAAATCCTGTTTTGTATTAACGACATTTGAGCATTACCATCTTCACAGGTTAGACCACAGTGAAGTCAGTTTTCCTTCCTTTCTCCTTTTTTTCTGGAACTGAAATCCTGACTTCACCTTAGGTTCGGAATCAGAACGGAAGGCCATGAACTGGGTTCGGAATAAACGATGATTGTTCTTCACCCCAAAACCAGGCAAACGGATCCCAAAGAGGGCCCTTTCCCTGTCCAGGCACCCGTTCAAAAGCCAGGTTCTGTCCTTACCACAGAGCTTACCTGTTTAGGTGTTTTTCTCATGATCTTAGCCTCACTCAGGCCCAGCAGACTGGCTAGGTTGGAATCAGGGTCCCAGGAGCCATCCGCATTCTGCAGGGAGACCAGCCTCAAGAGAGGGGATTCCTCTTTCTTGGGGATGGGTTTTTTCTTCTTTGCAGGAGCTGAGAGGAGCAATCAGGAGAATTACTAAATAATATGTAGCCAGCAACATCTCCCTTGGCTGTATGGTTTTGCTCTTAGTACTTAACATGCCTTATTCCTTCCTTCCTTCCTTCCTTCCTTCCTTCCTTCCTTCCTTCCTTCCTTCCTTCCTTCCTTCCTTCCTTCCACCCAAGTCTCCTAAGGAGAGAAGTACTTTATACCTAAATTATAGGGTTCCAAGCTACAAAGCTCTGGATGCAACATCGTTGCAAGGTGCTGTGAAGGCCACTAGAAGAGTGGCCTTATCCAGCTATAGCTACAGTCTCAGTCAGCGAATGTTCTGTTCAGACATCACTGCTCTCCTTGTCTAGCAATCCTTATCTCCAACTAATACCAGTCAGTAACAACAGCAAAATGTGGGTGCATGGACTATCAGAGGCTTGTTCCCCTCAGAGTAACTAGGATTCTTAGGGCGATTCTGCATTGGCTTTCCCCTACGTTGTTTTACTAAACCTACGTTGGAACAGAAATTCCCCTCTGCATTGCATGCCGCGTTCACTTTCTTTGATCATCAGTTTTTTTGTTTTTGTTTTAAATAGCATTTTATTGAGTTTTATATATTTTTACATCATGTATTACTTGTTAGTTGTATACAGTATCTTTCAACAGCATCTAATAAACAAGAATAGAAGTGTTCTCCATACGTACAATACTTGTTAATAAAACACAAAGTCTCTATATTTCTGAGGTAGTGCATATAATCGGGGTTGACAAGCAGTAAGATATTCAAAAAACACAAACCATTTTTCCATAAAATTATTAACACCTTTCAGATTGTCAAAAGCTATTAATTGCATAGCGACTTTATCTGAAACAATCAAGTCCCACAGTTTAGATCTCCATTGTGATAGATTTGGTACCTTAAATAATTTCCAATTTAAGGCGATTAAATTTTTTGCAGCCATTAGCATAGTAGAAATTAACTCTTCGTTCGGTTTAGACAGTTTCAGACCTGGCCAAAAATGTAACAAAAGAGATGCATCAGGTTTTATGGTACCCTACACTACATGCCACTTTCACTTTCTTTGATCATCGGGTTTTATGGTACCTTCTGCATAGATTTATGGCTGTTCAAGGGTGACTTTGCAGTCAGTACGGCACTGGCCCAGGGTATTTGAATGTGGTTCTGAGTGCTTTGGTAAAGCAATGGAGGGAAAAGCCAATACTGGCAGAATTGCCAGTAGCAACATTTGAACTCTGGTTAGGAAAGCATGTTACTGAGCAAGATTCAAAGCCCATTTATTAGTCCGGGTCAGCTTTCAGCAGCTGCAACTTGCTTCAGTCACATGAGATGAGAAGGGGCGCACCAGAGCATGACTCTAAATCCGATTCTTATCAGTCATGTGTCAGTACCATCTGAATGCAGCCTAATAGGAACCTCTTCGTTCAGAAAGACTTCTGAAACGCTGGGGATCAGCAAGAATGTGCTTGCCTTCAGCCCCTGGTCTAATCTCCCATTCTCTTAAAAGTAGCCCTGGGTGGTCTACTGTATGTGTGTGTGTGGGGGAATCAGAATATCGAAGCAAATGGAACTTTGTTCTGATGCAGCAAGGCAATTCTTATCTTCCAAGGGCTTCATGAGACAATACCAATGAACTGGGTCTGGGAACTTCCAGAGAGCCAGTGCAACGGGTGTAGTGCACGTATTACAAGTTCTCCCTTTCCAGCTGCCATCAGGACTGGTGGGG